AAAAAAAAAAAAAAAAAAAAAGTTAACAGTAAAGAGGAGATAAAGATAGACAGAGAATAGGGGAAACAAATCATAAATAAGTTCCAACAAAAAAAGCGATGTAGACGACGAAAGGCAGACAGGCAAACAGCGACATAACCAAACAGAAGAGCATGATACTCCCAGTGGACGCTTTTCGTTCTTCCCAGGTGTCGGCGGAATACGAGTTGCTCCCCAAACGAAGGGGGAAGGAGAGAGGAAGATGTAGATGAAGGAAAAAGGACCCAGGAGGCAGGAAAATGATGCGGAACGAGAAGGTAGAAATACCAAGCAGGAACAGGAGGGGGCGAAGGTACGAAAAGAGAAAACAGCAGGAGGGGCCAGGAGGAGGCGGGGGATGACGGAGGAGAGAGGGAGGCAGAGGCGCGGCGGGGGCGGAGGGAGGCAGGGGAGGGGAGAGGGAGGAAGGGGACTGGGAGGAAGGGGAGGGAAGGAAGGGGAGGAAGGGGAGGAAGGGGAGGAGAAGGGGGGGAGAAAGGGGGGAGGAAAGGGCAGGAGACGAAGGGGGAGGAAGGGCAGGGGAGGCAGAGAGACCCAGGAGAAGGGGAAGCGAGTCACGAGCAGAGAGAGGAGGAGAGGAGGAAGAGGAAACAGGAAACTCGGACGCGTCACGAGAAGAGGCAGAAGAGGGAGGAAGAGAGGTGGAAGGGACAAAAAGAAGAGGCAGAAGCGATAGAAGAGGAGGCAACCGGAAAAGGAGGAAGAACAAGAGGACACAGGAGGAAAAACAGGAGAAAAGACTGGAGGAAACACAGGAGGACATGTAGGAGGAAAGGCAGGAAGAAGAGAGGACCGAAACAGGACGAGAAGGCAGGACGGGACGCAGAGCTGGAGGCACGATGGAGGCAGAGCGAGACGCAGGAAGAGGTGGGAAGAGGAGCCAGAGGGAGAAGGAAGGAGGGTGAGGCAGGAGGAGGAGGCAGGAAGAAGAGGCAGAAGCGGGAGGCAGTACGAGTTAGGAGGAAGGAGCAGAAGGCAGGAGGAGGCAGGAGGAGGCAAACACAAGGAGGTGCGGGTGGAAGATAGCAGCCTACGAGGCTACAGGACACCGAAGGACAGGGCACGCAGGACGACGAGGAGGCAGGAGGAGTGGGGGCATGACGAGGGGGCACGAGTGCCAAGAGGAGGCAGCCGGAGGGCAGAGATAGGACGCAGCCAAAAAAGGCAACGGGAGGAGGGAGCCGGAGGAGGGAGCCGGAGGAGGCAGCAGAAGGCAGCAGAAGGCGGCAGGAGGCGGCAGGAGGCGGCAGGAGGCGGGGGGGGGGGGGGGGGGGGGGGGGGGGGGGGGGGGGGGGGGGGGGGGGGGGGGGGGGGGGGCGGCGGGGAGCGGAGGAAGCTGCAGGAGGAAGCAGCAAGCTGAGGGAGGAGGAGACAGGGTGCGGGCGGAGGCAGTTGCCCGCGGGAGGAAGCCGAAAGGCGGGAGAAGAGAGGAGGCTGCAAGAGGGCGTAGAAGGCTTCGGGAAGGGGTCGGAGGCCGAGGGACAGGGCAGCAGGCTGCGGGAAGAGAGGGGAAGCCACAGGAGGAGAAGGCAGGATGAGCAGAAGGCAGCAAAGACGAGGAGGAAGGCGGAGGCAATAGCAGGAGCAAAGAGGAGAACGGGGACGGGGCGGAAGACAAAGGCCGAGGTCGAAGGAGATGGCAAAAGCCAAGAGAAGGCTGCAGGCCGCAGGACAGAAGGAAAGACAACAGGAGGGAGCAGGAGGGAGCAGGAGGGAGAAAGAGGGAGAAAGAGGGAGAAAGAGGGAGAAAGAGGGAGAAAGAGGGAGAAAGAGGGAGAAAGAGGTTCCAGAAAGAAGCAGAAGGGAGCAAGACGCAGCAGGACGCGGCAGAAGGCAGCGGGCGGCAGGAGGCAGCGGGAGGGCTCAGGAGGCAGAACGGGGCAGCAGGAGGCAGCAGGAGGCAGCAGGAGAGGCAGCAGGAGAGGCAGCAGGAGAGCTTAGGAGGCAGCACGGAGGCAGCGGGAGGCAGCGAGACGCAGCGAGAGGCAGGAGGAGGCAGGAGGAGGCAGGAGGAGGCAGGAGGAGGCAGGAGGAGGCAGGAGGAGGCAGCGGGAGGCAGGAGGGGCAGAAGTGAGCAGGAGGAAGTAGGAGGGGGCAGGAGGAAGGTGAAAGGCAGGATGGCAGGAGGGGAAAGGAGCGGAAGCCTAAGGAGGCCTGAGAAGAAGGCAGGAGAATGCAGAGAGGAGGACATAGTAGGACTCAGGAAAACGCAAGGGGAGAGGAGGCACGAGGAGAAGGTAGTGGGCGGAGTAGAAAGCAGTGGACCGGAGGAGAGGGTGGTGGGGAGGAGGAGAAAGGACTGGGCAGGAGGAGGAGACACACTAGGCAGGGGGAGAGGGGAGGGTGACGCAGGAAGGGGAGCAGAAGCAGCTAACGCAAGGAGGAAAGGAGAACGAGATCTCGAGAGATGAAAGAGAAAGGAAAACGTAGGGAACGGAGAAGAGAGGGGAAAGCAGAAAATAGGAGCAAGGAAGGAGAAGGGAAGAGGAGCAAGGAGAAGGAAAGAGGAGAAAGAAGGAGCCAGGAGATGGAGGGAGAAGGACGGAGGAGATACAGGAACGAGGAGATGGCGGAGCGAGGAGAAAGGAGAGGCGAGGAGACAAGAGGACAAGGAAACGAAAGAAGAAGAAGCAGGAAGGAGGATCAAAGAGGCATAATGATGAAGAAGCAGAAGCAGCGTAACACGAAAAGGAAGAGAGGAAAACGGAGGTCCGAGTGAGAGAGTAGGAGGAGAGCAAGCCAAAGACGAGAGAGAGGGCGAATCGAACGAGAAGAACATGAAAATCGGGACGAAGGGATGAGATATTCCGGAGACGAGGAGGAGAAGGAGAGCGTGCTGCTACGGGATGGGAAGAGAAAAGAGAAAAGAGAGGAGAGGAAAGGAAAGGAAGGAAAGGAGAGCAATTTGATCCTAAGAGGAGGGAACGGGGGGTACCCGCGGAAGTCGGCGCAAAAATCACCCACCCCTACGGCGGCGATAATCCGTCCCCAGCGCTATTTTTCGCCTCGGTCTTGCCGCCGCCGCCGCCGACGCCGCTGCACGCCAATGTTATCTCACGAACGATTAGCCGTCCTCCTCCTCCTCCCCCTCCTCCTCCTCCTCACCATCGCGCGGCAGTGGTGTGTATGCCCGTCAGTAAGGTGCATAAAGAGGACTCCAGTACCCCATGCCATTCCATTGACCTTCGTCTCTATCGATACCTTTGACAAACTGGGAAAGACTTCTGAACGACGAGAACCGCCAGTCCTCCACCCATCGACAAGTCTGGCTGGGCAGGAGCGGAGCGGAGCGCTGCGCTGGCCTCCGCCAAGGCAAGCGCGCAAAGATCCCCGACGACTCCGCGCCGAAGCGAAACGAAAGCGGAGGCGGAAGGCCAAGCGCGGGAGGGCAGGCAAGGGAAAGGAAGGGAAAGGAAACCCTACACCCGATGCGAGCCTGGATTATAACTAAAAGCCTTTTCTTTTTCACCCCTTTCTGTGCGAGCCTAATCTGTCTATCTAAAATAAAATTTAAAAAAAAATAAAAAATCTATCTATCTATCCTATTGCTACTATAATTACCTCACACACATATAGCCCACGCACGAATGGCCAAACAAACGAGCCACCAGGGGTTGATCCCGACCCCTTACCTACCAATCCCGACCTTTAAGCCGCCAATCCCGACCCCTAAGCCGCCAATCCCGACCCCTAAAGTCAAAATACGATACCAAGTACTACGAAGTACGATGTGCATGCGGAAGCGTGCTCTTACTTGGAAAGCGTCCTTTCCTGCCAGACGGGATCGACCATGACCATGCGGGCTGTCGGTGGGCCAAATCACGTGCGCCTACTTCAGGCGTTGATCTGCGAATCAAGTCACAGGAGGCAATTTTCATGAGGAATGGCGCGCGCGGGCACGAGAGAACCATCCCCGTTCATTCCATCGGACGAACGAAAACTGTTCATCCACACCACTGTCAATCACCGTCATAAGCAAAGAGCGGAAGGGCCTCGCTCCACTACTCTCAAAATGTGCAAAACGAGAGCGAATCTTCCGCTAGAACATGGAAAGATACGCGGTCATGATTTTTGTCTTTTGTGCATCTTAGTGGACCGACCCTGGAAACAGCTGCTTCGCGGGCTTATTACGAAAAAGGGACACCTTGGACTCACTGGGCCTCCTACGTAGCTGCATGACTTCCCCCGCCCCATTTCTGACTGATCCAGCCAGTTTTTGGGCCTCGCGCCACTACACTCCCCATGTGCGAACGACAACAAATATTGCTATGCATCCTTCCATGTTCTAGCGCACGATTCAGTCAGTCTCGTTCTGCACATTTGGTTTGGAGAGTGGTGGATCGAGGCCCTACGGCGGGTGAGCCGTCGCCGCGCGCTCTCACTCMCCCCGCCCTTCCGACAAAGGGCCCCAGATGTGAAAACGACGTACGTACGTCGTGCAACGAGGCGGAGCACCCCGCCGATTTCCGTTTGATTCTTTATTTTTATGCTTTTTTTTACCTTCATATATTATAAAAGAGGGGTGTGATTCATTTTCCCCGCGCCGCCTGCAGCTGCCGCGGGTGATTCGAGGAGACGGGCGTCTATCACCGCGCGGGGTGAGTTTTCCCCACGGGTATCTGTTCTCCTTAGAGGCGGATCCCACAAAGAACTTTGGGGGAGATCCCACTGGCAAAGAGGATTGTAGCAAGTGTCTGAATGTGGACGTGTTTGTGGACAGGTGCAAAAACTTTTGATTGTTCTACTTTTAGTGGAACACGTCCAGATTCAGACACTTCTTCCAATCCTCTTTGCCAGTGGGGTCTGGCCCTTACACCAAAAAATCGGAAAAGCCCCTTGGAAGTCGGGCCCGTTCCTCACGATTCGTAAAGGGGAAACGAATCCCATAAGGGTGGAGGCTACGGGGCTTTTGCGACTGTGAGGGGTCCTTCGGAGAGGCCGGGTTCTTTCCAGAATGACCGCGGGCGCCGTTCAAAATTTTTCCCGTCCCACAAACGAGGGCCTGTGCGACGTCTGCTTCCCGGGTCTTGCCCCTGATGTCCGCGTACGCCCTACAGTGAGATGACAATGTCGACATTTTGCGCCGCCCCCCGCCGTCTGTCCTCCGTTTGTCAATAGAAGACGTGAATAGCCTCCCCGTATTGGACCCGGCTAGGTAGCCGACCAGTGGCAGGGTTAAAATGGACCAAAAAAAAAAAAAAAAAAAAGAAGAGAAGAAGAAAGAAACCATCAATGACAAGGACAGATTGACTTACCGTGAGGGCACGGTTGCGCAGCCCGTTAGTCGTTTGTTTATGTGGTTCAGGAAGGGTAAGGTAGTGAATCTGTTGTATGTATGTTTTGTCATGTTCGCTATACACAACTCGAAGAGAGTGTGTGTGTGGGGTCCCGGTTGATGCCTTATTCATGATGTTCACGGGACGCTGGACCCAGTTTCCAGCAGGTGGCGCTCCCCATCAATAGACAAGAGAATGTATGTGCATGTGTATGTGAGTGTGTGTGTGTGTGTGTGTGATAGAGAGAGAGAGAGAGAGTGTGCGCATGCGTGTGTGTATGTGTGTGTGTGTGTGTGT